AAAAAGCACATTGTTATTCCTGCAAAAGAATCAGACAAGAAGATGACTAATCTTCAGTTGACCCAATTAGCACCAGGGGAAAATTAAAGTTAGAAACTTGCTTGAGCACTGCTATGTTTCTACCTTCTGAATTATAGAGAAAAAGAAAAATATGAACTTAATTTTTAAGCTAAAAGTGTGAAAAACATGTAGTATATCAAAGTACTACACTAGTGTACGAAGATGACAGTTTACCAATTCCTATTTCGACATTCCAATTGCATAGAAATCCATAGGTGCTGCATTTGGCGACTTGGCCTAGTATATCTTTGTATAGAATAGAATGAATATCCATTTCGTTCTTCAGCTGATTGAAGTATGCAAGGTTGAATGAATATATCACGAAAGTAACTTATGTACATGTGACTTGTGTTGTTCGTTTTTCCAATGGAGATCATGTTGCATACTGTTACCTGGGGTACGTGGATGGCTTTTGTCACTCATCTTTGTGTTCATGGATTTCCACCTGTTTCAAGACATCACATTTTGGTTACCACAGTTGGGGAATGACTTGTTGCAGATCTCTTTCTGGATCATCCAGGTGCCCGAAGTTAATCCATATTCCTATTTTCTAATCACATTACAGACAAGGGATATCCTTTATGTTGGAGATTCTAAATATCAGATTTGAACATCTTTATGATGTCTGAATGTATGAATATTTTGCATCGAGAAGAGCTGTTACACACCCTTCTAAAAACAATTAATTTTCGGTGGCATAAATCCACCTACCAAACATCAAACAACGTCGAATGTATTTATGATAGATGACATTTTAGCGCGATATTATATCAGCTGTGGTTATCAAGTGACTTGCGGATTTGAATATTAAAAATTGTTTAACATAATGTACTCAACTAAGCGTGCACAGTGGCGTGCCCACTGGGATGACAAGGTGTAGGGCAGTAGGACACATTAGGAGTTAGTTTTGCCCCCACTGTTATGGCAATGTTAATATTTTTGGAAGGGATAGTCATATTATGTAACTTGAACTCACAGAAACTTGTTTGTTGTTAAGCGCAAAACTATGTCGATGTCCTCTTTAACACCTTCCCATTTGCATATGTTTTCCCATTAAGATGGTGTTGCAGCGAACGAAAAAGATGGTAATCTGATGGTGCCATATCTGGAGAATATGGTGAGTGGGGGAGAACTTACCAACTCAACTCCATAATCTTGTGTTGCGTCAAATGTGCCACATGTGGGCGTGCATTGTCATGGAGAAGAACACCTTTCCGATTAATGAGTAAAGGGCGTTTCTGATGAAGGGCTTGATTTAAACATTCCAGTTACTGACAGCAGATCTCTGCATTTATGGTTTGTTGTGGATTGAGGAGTTCGAAATGAATTACTCCTTTGATGTTCCACCAAATGCAAAGCATCACTTTCTGCAGATAGAGTCCGGGTTTTGGGGACGGAAGTGGTTTTGTCTAGGACTGAGCCATTGTTTTTGGCGTTTAATATTCACATAGAAAATCCATTTTTCATCACTGGTGGCAATTCTGTCCAAAAATGCCAGAAGAGACAAGTGGAAACGATGATTATTGGAGAGTTCGTGAGGCACCCAAACACCTTCTTTATGGAGTTTTCCCATATTCCTTAGATGTTTACTTAGTGTTTCATGAGAGACATGCAATTTCAGGGCCATTTCACGAGTTTGTTGCCTTGGGTTAACCTAAACAAGCGTCTTCAGAGCATCAGTATCAATTCCAATATGTCGGCTCATGCCATTACAGTTTTTAAAGCTAAAATCACCTGAACAAAATATGCTGAACCATCGTTGATACTTACGAACGTTCAAAACATTTCCAGAAACTTTTTGATATTCTTTATGGCTACATAAAGCTTTATGGTTTCCCTTCTTGTATTCAAACAGCATTCCATGATGAATG